GTTATATCCTCTTGATAAACTGACCCCTTTGTCATTATATAATGACCTTACTTGTCTTGTTTCATCATTTTTGGACATGATGTCCATTTTATCTGATTTAAGTGTAACTATCCCTGCTCTCGTTTGGTTTCCAATTGCTTGGAATATTTTTCTCTGTCCTTTCATTTACAATCAATGTGTGTCCTTAAAGGTAAACTGAGTGTCTTGTAGAAAACATATAGTTGGGTCTTGTTTTATTATCCATTCAGCTATTCTATGTGTTTTGATTGGAGACTTCATTCAAGGTAATTATGGATGGTAAAAACTGACTGCTGCCATTTTGTTAACTGTTTTCTGGTTGTTTTGTAGATATTTTCTTCCGTTCTTCCTCCCTGCTTTGCTGCCTTCTTTCGTGATTAGATGATTATTTCCAGTGGTATGCCTTGATTCGTTACTTTTTATCTTTTGTGTATTTACCATATGATTTGCTTTGTGGTTATCATCAAGTCTCACAAAAAACAGCTTATAGTTATAACAGGCTATTTTAAGCTGATAACACCTTAACTGTGATTGCATAAAAAATATAAACACTTTTCCTTCCTCTCCCCTCATCATGTATTTTACATTTTTGATGTAACAATATACATTGTCGTACATTGTACATCTTTTAAAAAATTATTGTAACTATTATCATTTTGTACAGTTTTGTCTTTTAACCTTCATACTAAAGACATGCATGATTTGCACAGCACCATTACAGTATTAGAGTATTTTAAATTTGTGTAGTTACTTTACCAGTGAATTTTATACTTTTGTATGTTTTAACGTCACTAATACATGTCCTTTTCTTTCAGGTTGAAGAATTCCCTTTAGTATTTCTTGTAAGAGAGGTCTGGTGGTAATAAGCTCCCTCTGCTTTTATTTTTCTGGGAAAGCCTTTATTTATCCCTCATTTCTGAAGGGCAGCTTTGCCAGGTAAAGTATTCTTGGCTAATAGGGTTTTAGTCCCCCTCAGCACATTGAATGTATCATCCCACTCTCCTGGTCTGTAAGGTTTCTGCTGAGTAGTCTATTACGAGCCTTACTGAAATTCCCTTATATGTGATATGCTTCTTTTCTCTTACTATTTTCAGCATCTTCTCTTTGTCTTTGATTTTTGACAGTTTGATTATAGTATTTCTTGGTGTAGTCTTGTTTGGATTCAATCTGATTGGAGACCTTTGAACTTCCTATACCTAGATATGTTTCCCCACTGTTCTTTAAATGGGCTTTCTGTTCTTTCATCTCTTTCTCTTCCTTCTTGAATTCTTATAACTCGATATTTATTCATTTGATGCTGTGCCATAAATCCTGTAAGCTTTCTTCATTCCTTTTCATTTTATCTTCTCTAACCTGTCTTTGAGTTCAGATTCATTCTTTTGCTTGATCAATTCTGTTGTTCATGCTCTTTTGCATTTTTCATTTCATTCACTGTATTTTTCATCTCCAGAATTTCTATTTGATTTTTTAAAAATAATAGCCTATTAAATTTCTCATTTTGTTCGTTTGTTGTTTTCCCGACTTCACTGAATCATTTCTCTGTACTTTCTTGAAATTCACTGAGCTTCCTTTAAAAAACTACTTTGAATTATTTATTAGATATCTTATACATCTCTGTTTCTTTAGGGCTGGCTACTGGTGCTTTATTTTGTTCCTTTGGTGGTATCATGTTCCCTGACTATTCCTGATCCTTGTAGTCATGTGTTGGTGCCTGAACATTTGAACAAGTGGGGACTTATTCTAGTCTTTATAGACTGGCTTTGTCTAATAAAGTCCTTCACCAGTCAGCCTGTCCAAAGACTCTGGAGCCTGAGTCCAGGGCTGATCTGGAGTCTGGGTCAGCAGGGGAAGTCCTGGAGCCCCTGTACATGTGTGGCAGCCTTGCACCAGAGTCTACAAGCGTCAGCCTGGACCCTGGGTCCACAGGATCCTGGGTCTGTGGAAGATTAGCCTGAAGGCTAGGTTTGTGGAAGTTGGCCTAGAACCTGAGTCAAAGGGGGCTTGCCAAGTGTTGGGGTCAAATGGCACTGGCCTGGACCCTAGTTCTGCTGGAGTATGGGGCCACAGCAGCCAGCCGGGAGGTTGGGGCTACAGGGATGGGTCTGGCATTGGGCATGCCTGGAGCCTGGGGCTATGGGATCCAGCCCGGCACTGGGGTGAACCTATAGGCTGTCTATAGTTACTGGCCTGGATTCTGGGGCTGTGGAGCCATGTCTGGCACTAGGTTTTATTGGGGCAGGCTCAATGTTGAATTAAGAGGCAAAGTCTGGTGCTCACTTCTCTTTCTTTCCCTCAAGAGGAAAATATCTCTCTCCATGTTGCTCTGCCTGGGGTTGAGGGAGGCATGACACAGATAACATAAAATTTTCCTTCTTAACCTCTTCAATGCATCTTTTCTTATTTCTGTGCCACACTCAGGCTCTGTAATCACTTACCTAGTTTCCTTAGCTTTTATAAAGGTGTTTTCATGGGTAGAGAGTTGTTGAAATTGATATTTCTGTGGTGAGATGAGTGCTGCAAAATCCTATTCTGCCATCTTGCTGATATCTGCACCTGATAACACCAGGCTTTTTTAAAAACAACTCAATATCTTGGTCTGGCACCACAACCTTTCCAACCACTGCATATAAATTCAAGTACCCCAATGTTAACATGCTATGCACATGCCACTAGTGGTTCTGTTCCATTAGCTCTGCCAATACCCAACCCTAAAATACTACACATAATCTTCTGGCTATTAGAGAATAGCCTTTAAATTGCAAATGTGACAAAGTCTCTAACCTCAGTTGACTACTCAGTGGTATATTCTCCAAGTTTGATTAAGGTTTCTCACTTCAGCTAGGCAGTTGGTGGCATCAGATTCTTAACATCTTTGATTCACTTATTCACTCATTCCCCTCAGTAACTTCCCAAGTTTTCAGTCTTCTCAAATTCCCTAACCAAACCCTGTGTTCCACAGAACATTATTAAAGTTACACGGTCACTAAACTACAATGACATACCACCTCACACCCATGAGGATTGCTACTATACAAAAAATAAACAAATCCCAGAAAATTAGTGTTGGCAAGGACATGGAGAAATTGGAACCCTTGTGCACTGTTGGTAGGAATGTAAAATGGTGCAGTCACTGTGGAAAACAGTATGGCAGTTTCTCAAAATTTAAAAACAGAACTATTGTACAATCTAGCAATTCCACTTCTGAGTATATACCCAAAAGAATTGAAAGCAGGGTTTCAAAAAATATTTGTACACCCATGTTCACTGCAACATTATTCATTATTATGCTAAAATATGAAAGCAACCCAAGTGTCCATCAATAGATGAATGGATAAGCAAAATGTGGTATAATCCACTGAAATATTATTTAGCCTAAAAAAGGAAGCAAACTGTGAAATAAGCCAATCACAAAGACAAAAACTATATGCCTGCACTGATAGGAGGTAATTAAAGTAGTCAAAGTCATAGACAGAAAATACAATGGTGGTTGCCAGGGGCTGTGGAGATGGGGAAATAGGGAGTTATTCTCTAATGGGTACAGAGTTTCAGTTTTGCAAAACAAAGAGTTCTGGTGATGGTTGCAAACAATATTAACGTACTTAATACCACTGACCTGTACACTTAAAAATGGTGATGATGGTAGATTTTACATTATGTGTACTTTACCACAATTTTTTAAAAAGTTAAAAGAAAAGTTACAGTCACATAAATTAAACAAATACATTTTATATTCCTTTCTGGGAGATTCACACGTACACCAGCATTTAAATGAACCTTCCACTATCTTGAGTTAGAAAATCTTGACTTCTCACCCACAAATTTAGTAACACATATCCACTTTTTTCTCCTTGCTCTAATTTCACAAGGGCCTTTCCACTTGTTCAAGGTCAACCCCTACATTAATATTTTTCATTCCAATCCTTACTACTTCAAAAAACCCTGGTTTCATATTACCACCTCTATTATCTTAAACTTCTTTAGTCCTCACAATATATTACTGAAGTCTTACTTACTTCATGTTCTAAATATTTGTCTTAAATCCAGAACACTTTATCTTGGATTCTTAATACACTACTATCCTTGTTAAGGTTCTCGTTGACTGTACTACTGAAGCTGTGGTCACTCACCACATTTCTCTTCAATCCTGTTCCTCTGCTGCAAAGTTATTAAAAATGTACATTTGAAAGGGTTACTACCCACCAACTGAGCAAATTCTTTACTAACTCTCAAATACATACAAAATACAAGCCAAGATCCTTCGCATACCATGCAAGCCCCCAGTCCTTTTCTAACTATCAAGTATATCTCCTTCATTTTCCTGCCTTTCTAATTTATGATATATAAGTCCTCAAAACTGTCTATTGTTCCCTACACTCACTATGCTGCTTCATAACTTTGCCCATGCTTGTGGCTGCCTGACTCCCAGTCACATTTCAAGATTTAACTTATCCTTCCCTGGTCACTCCTATTTTCCTGCCATCTGGACTAGGTTCCTATTGCATGCCTAGGTCCCCTGGTACTCCTTTATGTTTCTGCTGCATCCTGGGTACCATTCTACCTCAATGATTTAAATGATTTGCTTTTGCATCATTCACTCTGAGTATACTATAAATTTCTACAGGATAGAAACTAATCCTTGTGTATCTTTGTATCCACAACATAGTACCTGATACCTGAAATTGTTGAACTCAAACTCTTTCCCTACCATCTCAACTCAAATCTATTTCCCCACAATTGCTAGGGGACCAAAAAAACATAAGAATTCAGGAGCATGCAATTATTTATCTACCAGAAGAAATCTAGTGAATTGTTACCAAGGTTTATAGGTAATTGGTAGGGGAAAAATTTATGTCCCTATCTCTCAATTTACTTTTAAATCATTACTTTCTTTTAACTGGAAATTATTTTCAAAAAATGTGATACCATTAAGGCAGTTTACGGCAGCTTAAAAGACATCACACCCTCAATCAAGTTACACTTACATTCGGCTAGCTTCAATGTCGTCAGACTGAGGTTCTCTTGGTGATCTGTAAAATACAATTGAGGAAAAATTAGCAAAATATACCAGATTCTTAAAAAAAGGTAGACATGTTACTTGGGAAGACAAATTTGTAAACAAGATTTAAGCAATAAATAAAAGTCTTAAAAATAATTAAAGATTTCAACATGAAAAAAAGTGGTCAAATTGCCATACAATACACTTATTTTAAGGGCTGGACTAATAAAAAAACTCGATACATTTTTTAAGGAAAGGAAATTGTAAACACTATACTTAGATATCAACAGACAAACCAGTGTTAAGTCAAAATTATTCACAAAGTCAAACATTTTGTAATAAAAACAACTATAAAATTTTCTATAGCCAAGTATTGGTTATCAACATTAATAAGGGTACTCATTGGTATTCATCATCTAGAACTTTAGACCAGGAGGTCAGCAAACTACTCCCTGGGCAGACAAACTGAAGCTTGGGGCCAGCCACTTGGTCTTGTAAATAAAGTTTTATTGGAACACAGTCATACTCATTTAGATATTGTGTATGGCTGCTTTCACACTAAAAAAGCAGAAGTGAATACCTGTAGCCGAGACCATACGGCCCACAAAGCCTAAACTATTTATTGTCTGGACCTTTCATAACAAATTGCCAGCCTCTGCTCTAGATAATTGAAACGAAAATATAATAGCCTTGATAAATTTTGAGACATTTAAGTGAGACGTACCATTCTAATCATGGTTATTTTGGTTCAACGATGAAATTAACTTTACTTGAAAACACACTGGCAGTATGCCCTACCTGTCAAAAGTGTATCAACTGGGGCATTAAAGTTTTGCTCTGGATAACTGTGAATTAACTTCAGTTTTAAATAGTTGCCAGTATTTTTTATTTCTAAATATACTGCTGCTATCTTATATAGAAATATTTAAAATTCTAAGACACTAAGAAGCCTTTCACTTTCATTTTGGGGGACATGAACCAATTTTTCCTATCCCTATCATATTGTTAAAAATAAATAAATTTCTGTTACCCTATTCACTTTTATAAACAGCATCAGTCAATGTATGTAGTGAATATTACAAGGTAAATCAATACATTACTGATTTCTAACACTTCCAAATTCCCCAAATAGAAAAAATATTTTTTGAGGTCAAAAGCTAAATTTTCAAACTGGTATTAGAATGACTTAATTTGTGAATTTATCACAGACTTTAGACTTTCAACATTAAACAACTTTAACAAAAGAATCTTAAAATCAGAGTCACCACAGGGGAAAAAATCTGTTTTCTAAATTTCTTAGATCAAAAAAAATTCACTTCTTCATCAGATTTTCAAGATTACCCTCACTGGAGCTCATTCAGATTTCAAGGACAAGAAAAGAGGTGGAGAGAGAAAGACTCTGGCAGCTTAAATATTTATTTTAGATCTTCGTTGCAGTATATTTAAAATTTCGATTTTGCACAAAATTATATAAGAACTAAAAATTGGGGCATGCTGGAGGTGGCAGTGACTTGGCAGTGACACAAATACAAAAATTTCACTCCACCCTCTCCCCCAGGGAGCAAGCAAATCACCTCTGTGACACACCTGGTCTCCACCAGCCTTGTGGGTAAGTACCCCAAGATTGCTTCCAAACTTGTATCTCCCAGACAGAAGAGCTAAAAATTGATGATAACCCCATGTACCAGCTGACTCATTTTTGAAAGTGCGACCCTCCAGCATCAGATGTCATACTGTAAGGAGGCAGAGCTGGCTTGCAAAACAAAAAATAAACCTGCTGGCACTGAGGGAAGAGAGGCAGATTAGAAGTTTTCAAACATGTACGCAGGCAACAAAACTTTCAAAATTAACAGGGAAAAATAAAGGGGAAAAAATGAGGACACAATGATAGGAAAATTAAAATTATTACTGCAAAAAGGTAAGACACAAACAAGAAGGAAAACAAATCCAAGTCTCAGAAGTACAATATGTAACTGCTACAAGGTTTTGAGATCCTGAAATGGGACGGAGATTAAATATACAATCAAATAGTACCTACACCTATTTTCCTCAACTTCTGTGCCCTAAACAAGAGTATATGTGAACATTAATATCAAAATCTCACTAAATTGCTATAAATATACTAGATTATTGCTTAGTATTACATATGTTAAAAACCATTTATAAGTCAAACCAAGTAATTTAAACCAATTCATTCTAAAACAAAAAAAAAAGGAAAGGATTGAAAGATGAATATCCTAAAATAAATTTGTCCTGGGTCTCTTAAACCTAACATAGGTTGCTTTCCATTCAAATTGGAAATTGTTTTTTAAACACGAGAAAAGTAAATATACACAGAACTAGCAGAAACATTTTTCTTGAAGTATTAATAGTGCATGTCAATAAATCTCTAGTCATTCTGCTTATAGTATATTTCTATAATATTATAAATGAGTTACCCCAAAACATCCTGAAGTTAGGATTCAAACTCTCAAAAGTATGAAATGTATACCATTTATCAATAGTTCCCAAGCTTTATTTTGGCTCCTAAAGAGCCTATTGATTCTTTCCTACTAATCTGTTGGAAATAAGAATCCAGTACGTGTTCATAAATTCAGAACATACAATCTAATTCAGAACATATAACCAAAGGAAAAAAAAAAATTTTAAAAACTATTGACTTAGGTTATCCTAAAGTTTGGCAGAATCACAAGTCAGAAAGAAAATTTTAAAACTGAAACAACAGCCAAGCAACATCAGAAAATAAATAAAACTTAGAAGAATCTCAATTTTAGTTCTTGATTTGGATTATAGAAAATATGATCACAAAACACCCACTAATCTGAATACTGCAGCATGAGCTAGCAAATTCAAATGGTGGCTCACTTCCAATAATACTGGGTGCAGCTTCTCCATCCTGCAAGCCACTCCTTTTACCTCCACTGTAACTCTCTAGGAGAGAAAAGTATACTAGTTTTATTAAAGTTATAGAAACTTTTAGAGAAATGTTTAATTAAAGCTTTCACCACATAAAAGGCACACTTTAAAATGCATATTAAGAAATTTTTCATATCTTTTTAATAATACTTATAATAATATATTTATGTAAAACCTTGCAATTTTTGAGAAATACTTTCCTGTTTATCTACACAGATAGTTCTTTAGTGGTGGCTACCAATATTTTTAATGTGGGGAAAAACAAGCACTAAAATATTTTAGGAAGGAAACTAAATGGAGAAGTAGGTCAACTCTTAGGTCCACTAGTCTTAGCAATATTCCTGTCAACTATACATTTTCTTCATTTTTACAGCACGTATTTCACTTTACAATGACAGCCTTTTAAAGGCTGTAAAATAATTCAAAATTACCTTTTACAAGCTGTGGCCATTCGGTGACATCAGGGTGATCACAGCTTTGAGTCACTGATTAAAAACAGGTTGTCACACCAGTCTAGCTGCTAACTTGATCTGAGCGTAGGCTTAATAACTCTAATAAATTAAACAAACCTTTAGTTAGAATACTTTAATATATAAACCCAATTCATTGTTCAAAAAATAACCTTCAAAGCTTCAAATTAGGTGTCAATGTAAAATTCATCAGAATTATTATAGAAAAGATTTAAAAAACTAATTTCCAGCATTTTTTTCCTTATATGATCTCTTCATTTGAGATATATGATCTCAAAGTACAAGTATACGATCTCTTCATATACTTGTATGTAGTGTTATAGCTTAGACAGCTTATGAAGCACTTTGGTCAACAGTACCTTGAATCTCAAGACAACTTTGGCTCTAACTGATCAAGGCAGACACTATAGTAAGAACTTAGAAAAACGAAAAATTAAGCAGCCTCGGAGTGATTAATTGACTTGCCCAAGATTTTAGAACTAGTGTTGAAGCTAAGACTAAAACACAGATCTACTGACTTCCTATCAAGGGCTGAGTTTTTTGTTTTGGTTCAGTTTTGCTATTCAGAGTTTCATGATTTAAACATATGTAAATTAGTAAAGATTTAGAACATGGATTAAGATCCTCACAATTACAATAATTGGGACTATTTAAAAGGGACTATTTAGCCAAAGCATTCTTAAATTGATGGAGAAATCAGTCACCAGGTAAGCAAATGCTTAATGGAATAGTTACATACATATACATAAACACATACATACACACACACACACACACACACACACACACACACACACACCAACCAAAGTCTAGTCCTACTAATTCTGTATTTAAGTACAGTCATCTAACATTAGCCAAAACCCCTTGGGTCTTGCATGAAAATGTGTTCTACTCTTTCTGAACCATAAACCCGCTAAGATTCAATTTCATGAAAGAATATGGCAAAATATGAAAACATCTCCTCCTTCAACCAAGTATCTTTTCATCCGCTTACATGGTCTTAGCCAAACTTTCCTGATTGTCACAGTTCAAATTTAGCAGGCCTCCTTTATCACAGTTCTGGCAAAGATATCATACATCTGAAATATCCCAGTATGGAGAGTTCATCTTGTGCAACTATTTCCTCCCCTCATGATTCCCCTACCGAACGTATATCCAGGCCAATTCTGAGGAGTGAACTAAGGAGAAAGATGAGAAAATGAGAAGAAAGACTTCATAGTTAACATCTTCAAACTAACAGCAGACAAGCATAGAAGTTGGAACCAGAACCTAATATAAAACAGCAAGGTATCTTAGAATGCCAAGAGAAGGGTTGAAACATCAATGCTTGAGCCCATACCTCCACAGCTATGAACACAGGCCTTCATACCCAGATGAAGGTGAGGGTTGGCCTGAGTACATATAAGTAGAACTTCGGGGGATTCCAATAAATGGGACATGAAATCTCTGTAAGAAATAACTCAATTTCCCAGATTTTCCTATCACAACTATATGTCTTTTAATAAGCACCTAGACACTGCTGAGGTCAAATCGGAAAGAAGCAACAATGCCCCTGAAATGAACAATGTGGTCAAGATAGTTCCCCTCCCCCACCCCCGGTTTCTAAGGACACTAATGGTGTATGTGGATTTAGAAAATCCAAATGCATCTAACTTCCAAACTTGTAAACACAAAAATAATAAAGTTAAAATATCTTTTAATTGACTAATTAATTAATTAAAGAGCTACATGTATTTTGAAAATCACCAAGTCAAGTCTTCTTCCAGTCCCCTCTTTTATGAGGTCCAGTGCTTAACAGAGCATGAAAAGGCTCTAAAGCCAGTCTGGATTCATGTCCCTGTTTGTTTACTTAGTAGCTGGGAAATCTTGGGCAAGTTATTTAACCTCTCTGAGCCTCAGATTCCTTATAGGTAGAACAAAGATAACGGTAGTACCTGTCATGAGGATGAACAAGCTAACATCCAAATAGCTCAGAAAGGTGCCTGACACGCAATATGCTCACAAATGGAAGCTACTGTTAATACTCATAGCCTAACAGCCAAACCTGCCCCCTCAATCTTCTTATGCATGTTATTTTACTTCTCGAAGCACACTAATGTCTTATAAATTCTTCCAGCACCCTACTTGGATCCCTCATACAATCTACCTGGAAGCACAGTTAGTTAGCGCCTAGCACAATGCTTTAAAAATGGTAGGCGCCCAAATTTGCTGAACACATTTGTCATTATTCTAACCATGACATTTAGTAAGATATACATGCAACATGAATTCCAAAAAGTAAAACGGAAACATACCATATTTCGCCAAACTTCTGAGGAGCTGGTGAATTCTAAAATCAGGCTCTTACAGATTTTTAACCTAAAATATAAAACACCTCACTCAATTCTTTTTACACAAACAAATGGATAAACTTTAAAAAATTTCACTAATATTCATCATAAAATAAAAACAAATTTATATTCTATAATAGCAAATTTATTTTTTATAATATTCATGAACATCCAAAAACATATCAAAAGACAAATTACCCTACTGCTGTTGCCAGGATGAATGGAAGGGTAGTTAGGCAGGCCCTGTGGCCTGAGTGCTTTTAACAGGCAAAGCCAGGTTTCTCATATTCATCCACAAAGCGTAGTGCTTTCCATTTTTTACTCTATTACTTTATCCTCCCTCCAAAAGGGCTAAAATTATATGAAAACTGTTTAACTACATGCCTCTAATCCTTTCAGACACCTATAGCAATTTTGCTTTTAATTAAATTCTATATACTGAGGATCTGCTATGTGAGGTACAAATACGGGCATCTATGCACTACCTTCTAGAATGGCAGCCTTGGGCAGATCCTTTGACCCCGAAATCAAAAGTGTCAGGCTGTTGTGAGCATTAAAAAAATATATTAAAAGGATGTAGGATAATGCCTGCCTGGCACATAATAGGGCCTCAATACACCGTGACAGTTACAATGTCTTCAATCAACCATTTAACCTATCTATCAAAACTTAAGTCTTATAAAAAAAAAAAAACTCTGAAGCTTAAAGCAAGCCCCCAAATAATCACTGTAAATTTAACTCATTTGTATATAATCAGAACATTTCTCAGTGGAACAGGAAATGAAGTCTTTTAATACATTCCACTTTATTACACCTGAAAAACCAAATCCCAAAGATTAAGAAACCCACCCAGTGTCCTAGAGGCTGATAGAAAATGAACACATGGCACATAAATATTTTTTAATAAAATTAACCAACTTTTAAGGCTTTAGAGGATAGAGTCTCAAACTTTAACCTAAAATAGAGTCAACTGGGGAATCTAAAAATGCAACTACCAGGGCTCTACCCTCAGAAAGTCTGAATCAGTGCATGAGATGAGGGTTCACGAATTTGGATTTTTAACATACATTTCAGGTGACATACAGATCCTAATTGCAAAAGCCATGCCTTCCTAATCATGGATTAGGAACACATAATCATAGAAGAAATATATCAAATCTATAAGGATACAGCATACAGAAACTGTAGGCACCAAAAACGTAAGACGTACTTATTTTGCACATTTAACCATTAGAACTCTAATACCAGACGTAGTGCCCTTATTTATGTCTCCCTCCAACAGAGAGGGGGGCTCAGTCTAGTTATCTAATAAGAAATGCCTACATCAATCTACCCATCTAAAATTTTCATTTTATTCATTTTCTATTTTATTCTTAAAATGCAGTCCATCTGCCAACAACCACTCTCCACCCCCACACACATTATTATCAGTATATCTGGTATGTCCTTCATCTCCTCTCCACTAGCCTCTTTCCTTCACTTCCTTCTGAACCTATGTCAAAACAATTTCACAAATTGCTTTTTCTACCCCTTTTTATTATAACACTCAGCACTTCTGTTCTCCTTTGCACCAAGTTTACAGTGTCTTACATTTATGCGTAAAGCTACTTATTAAAACTCTCTAAGTTCTGTCCATTTGCAACTTCACAACTCACCATGGACTGCTCCAACAACTCTCTTATGCCTTCCTGCCTTTAGGCTCTCGTCACTCTAGTCCATGCTGCAGTTAAGACTAAAAGGTTTCAAACATACACACACACAAAGTTTTAAACAATGGTTTAAAATAGTGCTTGCAACACAATTCCCTCAACTCCATCAGCCCCTTAGAGTACCATGTCTTTATTTTCTTTCCTTTAACTACCAAAAAGACCTCAAAATCATTAGCTCAATTGCTGATATACAAAACCTTCCACTTGCTGATATATTTCTTATAAGATCTATCATCATTCCTGTACATTCCAACACTGTGTACCCTTAATCCTACTTAATTTTTGTAGTATTTCATACTGTTAACCATTCCTAACCTCTCCTAACTTCCCTGATGCTGTATACAGCCATTTTCTTTCATCTAACAGCAACAAGGTCTTCTGCTAGTTATCTTCCTACCTCTCATACATGGCCACTCTCCAAGTTTCTGTCAATGGCCACTTTTCTCAACCTAAATTAATTATCTGTGCAATGACATCCATTCCCATAGCATCTCTATATTTAAGACCTCAGGCCAGGTGCGGTGGGGCTCCTGCCTGTAATCCCACCACACTGGGATGCTGAGGCTGCAGGATCCCCTGAGGTCAGGAGTTTGAGACAAGCCTCAGACAAACCTGAGCAAGAGCGAGACCCCATCTCTACTAAAAACAAAAAAATTAGCCAGGCAACTAAAAATAGAAAAAATTAGCCGGGCATGGCGGCAAGCACCTGTAGTCCCAGCTACTCGGGAGGCTGAGGCAGGAGGATCACTTGAGCCCAGGAGTTTGAGGTTGCTGTGATCTAGGCTGACACCATGGCACTCTAGCCCAGGCAACAGAGCAAGAAGACTCTGTCTCAAAAGAAAAAAAAAAAAAAAAAAGACCCCATATCTGTACATCATTAAGCCTTTATCTCTGGAGAGATGCCTGCAACTACCAATTTGCAATAGCACATATCAACTTAAATGTCTCATGAGCATCCAGATTCAATGTATCTAAAATCAAACTCAATTATTTCCCCCAAACCTCACTTTACCCTGTATATGCCTAATCTTGCTGTTCTCCTAATTACACACTGAAAAATTCTGCAGCATTCTTTACTTTCTACCCCTCATTTTTATTTAGCCTAACCACTGTGTAGGTTGATACTCACTAGCCTTCTCATTCATTCAAAAAATGTCTACTAGACTTTGGGTGCCCAGTAGGTGGGTGAAGACGTGGTGGTAACGAAACTAGACATAATCTCTTCTCCTCGTGTGGTGAGGGGAATTGCCACAAATCATAAAAACCACAATAAATCATGTAATTACAATGCGCAGTTAAGCACTGGGAAGGAGAAACAGGGCATGGTGAGTGGGCATTATAATTAAAAGTCCTGACTTTGGGGAAAAAAGGAAGACATTCCTCATGAGGGATGAGCAAGATTTATCAGACACACTAAGAAAACCTTGTGACATAACGGTAGCCGCCCAAATCAGAAAATTTCGAGTCAAACCCTAAAGAGTATCTCTCTTTCCTAGTACATCAAATTGTTTACCAAGTGTTCCCAATTCAACCTCAGAAATTCCCACTACCCCTGTTCTTCTTTTGATGGCTTTTAGGTGCTTCCAGAATAAAGCCCAATCTCCCAATCATGTCAACTGAGATTATATACACACAATTTGGCCAAAACCTGCCAGCCCAGTGTCTTCTTCCAGACTAGACCAAACTCCAAGAGAACATGTCTATCGTTCACTTTTATGCTTCTGGTACTTGAAAATGTTTACAGAATAAGCATCTTACAAAAGATGAAACTTTTCTCCTAGTTGGTTTGCTTTTGGTCCTTTAACTAGTAAATGTAAAGGTTAAGATTCAAACCCACATTTGTCTGAGTCTAAAGGCTATGCTCATTTCCTTGTATCCCCCGATGAGCACACATGTGCACAGAAGAAGTAAATCTCAGTGGAAATCAAGCAGGGGGGAGGTGAGAAGATGGGATGGGCGAAAACCTACTTAATAGGCACAATGAACACTTTATCTGGGTGATGGGCACACTTATAACCCTGACTCAAGCATAACAAAATCAATACATGTAACCAAAAACATCTGTATCCCCATAATATTTTGAAATAAAAAAAAAAAACTTGCATGATATTAGTTTTAAAAAAAAAGAAGAGAAAAAAAAGACTTTACATAGAGGGGAGCAAAGACAAGTACAGTCATGCATTGCTTAACGACAGAAATGTATTCTGAGAACTATATTGATAGGCAGTGTTATTAGGTGATTCTTCCATTGTGCAAACATCACAGAATGTACTTGACACAAACCTAGATGATATAGCCTACTACACAGCTAGGCTAACGGTATAGCCTATTGCTCCTAGACTACAAACCTTTACAGCATGTTACTGCACTGAATACTGTAGGCAATCCTAACACAATGGTATATATTTGTGTCTCTAAACATTAAAAAGTACAGTAAACATATGGTATTATAATCTTATGGGACTACCGTCATCAATGTGATCTGTCATTGACCCAAACGTCATTATGTGGCACACAACTGTATAATCACAGACTTCTCATCAAAAACAAATGCTTAAAGAAAAACATATCAACCTAGAATTACATACAGTAATTAACCAAGAGAAGAAAAAACCACGTATGTCGACACAGAGACTTTTTTCACACAAATGTTCACTGCAGCTTTATTTACACCAGCTAGGAACTGAAAACAGCCTGGAAGTGACAACAGCCCAGGTGTGCCTTAACAGAAGAATGACATTACAAATCACTGAAACATGCAATAATGTGAATGAATCTCAAAAATATCATGCTGGGTCAATCAATCCTTTTGCGATACATAAATACTGCATGATTCTATTTAAACAAATTCTAGAACAAGCTAACGGTTGACTTTGGGGGTGGCTGGTGGCAAGAACTAATTAGGATAGGTATAGGTTCTACACCTTGATAGGACTTTGTTGCAAAGATGTATGCATTTGTCAAAGCTCATGAAATATTATACGTGGCAGACTGTATTTTCCAAAGATGGCCACCACAATATAACCCATCCCACATACCCTTAACACTGTAACACTGGCATTTTCTTATGAGGTAGTACAGTCTATGGCCCTTCTCCTTGAATGAGTGGCCTTTGTGATGTTTTCAATCAAAAGAGTATACTTGTCCCTCAGTATCCACAGGGGACTGGTTCCAGAACCACCCATGGACACCAAAATCTGATGATGCTCAAGTCCCTTATATAACCTGGTATAGGATTTGCATATAACCTACACATTTCTTCCTGTACACTTTGAACCATCTCTAGATTACTAATAATACCTATTTTAATGTAAATGCT